TTTGAAAGTGTAATATAAAAATGCATGCACGTAATGTTAATTAAAATGTAAAACGTAGATTAGTTAATAATTTACTATTCGTAAATAGTAAGAATATGAATAAGAATACAATAGAACATATAATAGATTATCGACTAATCAATTTTTTTTCACGAGCAATGAGTCTGTTAAATAACCTACAAATTTTTAAATTTTTAATTCTATTAATATCATTAAGTAATAACAGAAAAACATGATTATCGATATTATTAATTATTGACGAAGTTAGCTATTTGTTATATGTCAATTTTACATAAAACTAGAAGGTTTACAATAAAAAAATAAAATAAATTACAATAAGAAATAAAGTAATTATATTATGTTGTTTACTCAATATTATAGGAGTGAAAAAAGAATTGATATTTTTGACAAAGCACAAGAAAAAAATGACTACTTAAAGAGTAAACTTAAAATGTATAATTGTAATTGTATTTTTATACATATAATGCAGAAAAAATTATTATATTTATTTATTATAGTATTTAATGCTAAGATAGGGTTGATACAACATAAAATTAATTACTTCTTCTAAATTTCTTTTAGAGAAATGTTTTTTGTGAAATCAAGTATTTAATGTCTTCTAAGAAATCAAATATTGAATGTTTTTTTAAGAAATCAATATTAAGCTGAAGGCATTAATTGCTAATTCATTATCTACTATATACATATATATAGGTCATAAAATAAAATGAGAGATAAGTATGTAAATGATTAGATTATGTAGATAGATTTAACACCGAATTCAAATGCAACACTGATTGATTCTTAATTATAACATTAATGATTATAACGAATCAATTATTCGTTATACATATTCAATTTTAACAGATTGTCTTATATTCTTCTATTATCATAAAACAGATTTATCACATTGAAATCTTATACATATATACTTACCGTAAGATAATCCCGCGTTGATCCAAATAAGCAGCAATAAAGTGGTAATCCGCGACATTTTAAACAATTTGGTCTTCAAATCACACAGTTACAGCTTTATTAAAATGAGATACAAAAATATTACACTGAAATTGAGATACGTATTAATCATGCAATTAATAAACAAATAAATTACTCAAGTACTCCTCCCCGACAAGTAACGGAAAGCTGCAAGTTGCAGACTGTTAAATATAGTATTACATGTTTGTGAGTATGACTCAAAAGATGTCAGCTTCATCACTTGCGTCAGTCGATCATTGCCGAAGAAAGCCGAATGCTTGATCATATTATTTTGGCGGTTAATTTCAATTCGTTAAGATAATATATATGTATTTTGCTTGTTTGAATACTAAATTATATTGACATTATTTATATTAAATTACGTATGAATTAATGTTATAATTTAATCTTGCCACCTAAATTAATGGTTATAATTTGCCACCTAAATTAATGGTTTAATTTGCAACCTGTATTAATTTTATCTATTATATATAAATATCGTTTTCATTAACTTATAATCATTTATAAAAGTCTTTATATGTCTGCCAATATATTTATTTTTTAACATATATATAAAGTAATATAGCTAATAGCTGTAGTAAAGTAATATAGAACATAAGAAATTTTATAATTTTAAAATTGTACAGAAATACAAAATTTTGTATCTTATTTATAAAAGAAAATAATCTTTTTATAAGATATATATAATTACATTTATATGAAATTAAAATATAATAAAAACAGAAATAAAACTAAAAGTAAATGAAAAAATACTTATTTTGGTGCATTTTCTATATTTATGAATTAAATACATCTTGTTATAAAATAAAAATATAAATATAGTTTGACAGTATCACAAATAATTCCTGTTTAAGATAAATTCATAATAAAATGATAAAAATAAATTTAATTGTCTATATAATATAGTAAATACGTAGTCCTATTTATGCTTTATATATAAAAAAGTTTTAAGTAATATTAATTATAAAGTATTAAGACATTAATAAAACTTTATTAAGATATTAATAAAAATTTTAATATAAATTACTAATTACCAAATAAATATTTTTTTAAAAATATAAAAAGGTTAATTATTATTTTTCTTATTTAAGATCATGCTATGTTGTCATTAATTTCGTCCCCAACAAGTTTTCCCATTTGTTTATCATAATGTAAAACAAAACTATGATGATAGCCATGCTTACAGAGTACTGCATTGAGCTCAGGATGCTTAAACTTCAAATTTTTGTAATATGTAACTGGTACCCAATCATCACAGTTGCCATAATAAAACCATAATTTATCTGCATATTTTGAAATTATATCATCATCTCTTTCTTTTACTATTTCCATTTCTTCTTCTGCCATTTTAATTACTCTTTTTACAGTATTAGGATTTAAAAATTGTAACATTGCATTATTGCATTTTAAAGGAATTGGTATTAGTGGTAAAATTACATTTAAAATAAAAATTTGAAAGGAACGTGGAAGAATCGAAAAAAGGGAACACATAAAAATTAGAAAAAACGCAAATTTTGATATCTGAAAGAAATTACTTTTTAATTGACATCCTATGCTTTCATTTAAAATAATTTCTGAATAAAAGAACTTACTTTATTGAACCACCATCCATTAGTAGTTCTGGCCATATATTCTATAGTTGGAAATATCAGGTAACATTTGGTTACTTTTTTAGCAATGACATCATCTTTTAGCATATTTAATATCATCCAACTTCCTATTGAATGTCCAACAAGATGCAGCTTTGCATTTTCTGGTACATATTTTTTAATGAAATCTTTCTGCAATTATAATATGACGATTATTTAAAATTTTCTTCTCATAGCATTAAAACTTAATAAATAAAACAAACTTTGTGTTGTAATTGTGCCATTAAACTATAATGTTCAGTCCAAGTTGAATCATCTGGCATGGTAACTGCCAAATTGCTCGGTGGTTGTACATGGCCTGCATTTCCAATCACCCAAATGGGCACTTCTGTAGGAAGTCTTAATTTTACAGTTTTTATAAATCCTTCATAAAATTCTGGTATACCAGGGTTACCTGTAATAACAACCACTATATCCTTTTTACCATTTTCTGCAAGGTCTTCTTCCACCCAACGACCTTCTGTAATTATTTGAGTAGGTACACCATTTAATTGTAACATTGCACGCTGCATATTGCTTTCTTTGCTGTAATAAGATTTTTAATATATTATTATATATTCTATTACATATATATTGCATATATATTATATTACAATATTATATTATATATAAAGCATTAGACACATAGACAATGAATAACATTAGAAATAAGTCATGGTTAGAATAAAATAATTTGTAATTTATAAAATTATTTATTAATAGCGTTTTCTAATAACTTTTATTTTTATCAATTTATCGCTTTTATTACTATATATTTGTATTACTATTTTTGGATAAAAATTAAACAAAAATTTTGGGTTAACGTACCTGCGATAACGGTCTATATATGTAATTATTTAAGCTATTTTTATTTTAAGAATATAAATATATTAATAATTTTATTGGCGTTTGCACTTGTTATAATCAATTAATTGCTTTTTTATAACAAATTATAGTAGAACTCTGTTTATATGAACTTGCCACGGAACAAATACCTCGTACGTAAGTAATTGCATTTCGTACAATAGGTCACTGTTTCTTCTCTCTGCTAGTGATTTTTTGTTCATATTCAAGTTCATGTTCAAATAAATGGATTCAACCAGTAACAGTTCATTTAATCAGGCACTGATTGAATGATGTGATTATGAAGTTCTTAAATAAATAAAGTTCTGTATGAATGAAATTTTCAAATAAATGAAGTATTTATATGAATAAATTGGTATAAATAAATTACAATTTTAAGAAGTATTTGTATGAATAAATTGGTATAAATAAATTACAATTTTAAGAAGATATATTTTTTATTATTAATAAATAAATAAATATTTTTTGTTATTAATATATAAAAATTTATATTGTACTATACATTGTATATTAAATGCTTATATACTCAAAAGAATTCAGTCTCTTTGGATAAACGTTTGGCTGGAAATCGGAAGTCCCCTAGTTCGATTCCAGGTTGTACACACACACAGATTGAAAAGTATTTTTATACCTCTATATGTAGTTTTATAAAATTTTGTAACTCCTCTTACATATCCAAGCATATTTTTTTTCACATTTTTGCAATAATTATATTTTAATGTAACATCTAGAATAAGATAGATATGAGCAATGTATGTATTTACATAATTACATAAAAAGTTGCTTAAATAATAATAATTAATAATTGAAATTAAGTAGATAAAATATAATGAAAACTAACATGTATCAATTAAATTAATATCTTTATGGGAAAACTGACTCGAATTCAAAATTGCTTTTGTAAGAAATTCAATTTGTAAAATACATTCATAAAAAATATTTAATTGTTTATTTCATTTCCGTAATTATCAATTCACTTGAATTAAGAACAATGAAAAATTATAAATCAATAAACACTTTGGTCGTAAGATTGTGTCGTATGAAATGTTGTTTATATATGTATATATTTAGGTATTTATTTTATCTATAGAGATAGCTAAATATATGCAATGAAATATCTTTGCAGGTTTCTAAATTACGAATTATATATAATTTTTTTTCTTGAGCTTCGTCAATATATATAACATGCCAATATTAATATTTATGAAACTAACGCGAATTCATTGTATATTATGCTACGACAGTATATTATGTTACGACAGTATATTACATTATAAAAGACGTTAATATTAATACCTAATATATGGACAATTTTCGAACGTGTACAAAGTTATTAGCATTATTTTTTTGATTGATTTTAACATCTTCCTTCATTGATCAAATAAAATTATCCACATATGTAAAGTAATTGTCAAGTCGAGTACAATAAGTTACGACCTGACTAAAGTAGCGGGCGTCATTTTAAAATAAAAATTTATTGTAAATCTGGATAAGCGTAGAAGTTAGTGGGTCGCCATTTTGGTAGCTCCTTCGATAGCGTATTTCCCACGGTGCACTGCGACAGCAGTAAACGCGGCAATAACTGCTCCAGGAGAATCAAATGAGAGTGAGAAAGAGCGAGACAGAGAAGTAGAGAGTGAGAGAGAGAGAAAGAGAGAGAGAATCGAAATCAAGGAGCGATGGATAGATAGAGATGAAGATAGAATGTTGTAGAGACAGAGAGAGAGAAAGAGAGAGAAAGCTAGAAAGCTGCGCAGACTAGCCAGTGTGTACAGGCTAGTGGAAGAGAAACAAGGATAGCGCAAGAAGAGTCACGTTGGGTTGTATCACTGATTCCGGCTGGTGGAAAGATGGCGGAGGGTAATTCGAACGCGCGTCATATAGCTCTATATGCCGCGCATGCGCAACGTGGGTACGTGTGACTGCGATGGTGTCGGTAGGCGGAGCGGCATCCAGAACTAACTTGTACCGGGTGGTACCGCATCACTGTCAGCAAAAACCACACAAAACGGCACCATTCGCTTCTCTGGTGTACCGATGCAGGAGGGGTTCGGGTTGCCCGTGGGGCAGGACGGAAGTTCAAGGCAGTCGTGGCGCCACGGGGACGCATTGGGAAGCGCCATACTGACGATGACGCGCACGCACTTCCAGGTAATCGGATGACCATTCTTCTGTATCATTCTATTTCCTCAACTGACCAATCCACTTCAAATTGATGTGGAATTTGTGAAAGGATTTTTCATCGTTTCTAACTTTTTTCCACTTTGTAGGTATCGGCATGAATTTTTAGGTATCGAGCGTTAGTGGGTGGACTATTTAGGAATCGTCACGCGTTTGGTTACTTCGTTTGAATTAGTAATAAATAAGAGGTACGGTAGAGATCTTTGTTGTATTTGCGGGTTGATTCTTGGAAAAATACAAGATATTGCAAGAGGAAACGGCAAAATGTTATGAAAACAAGAGATAACTATATGAAGGTACTTAGATTAGATATATCTAGGTAAATAGATCATGAAAGTACATTGTATATGAGATATATAATTATGAATATATTTTATTATTATATATTATTATTTGAAGTTTGTGTTAACGCATTTAATTGAGAGCATCATAAAGTATTTTCACTAGCGTTTTTGTTACTCTCAATGCATTTAGATAACATATTTGCTTTGTAAAAGAACTATGTTCATACGAAGAAATTAGATTTTAAATGTATGTAAATGTTCCTAAAACTTTTTTATTATGTCAAAATATTAAGAGATTTTTATTATGTCAAAATATTAAGAGTATTATTATATTTTTAAATATTGTTATTCTCGTTACTCCAGATCGATTTATACTTAAGTGTAATTTCTGACTC